CTTGTCACAATCAAAAGCCTCTGTGTAGTCAATAAAGCACAGGTAAACATCTTTCTGGTATTCTCTGCTTTCTACCAAGATCCATCTGACGGCAGCAATCATATCTCTAGCTGGAACTAGAACCTCTGGCAATTCCCAATTGATGTACTGATGCAGGCATTTTTTAATTTTCTTTAGCAAAATTGACTTGCATGTGGTAATTAATGATATTATCCAATGCTTTCTGCATTCTGTTGGGTTTACCTCTCTTTGGAATGGATACAAATTTGGATCTATTCCAATCAGTTGGCCAGGTAGTTGCCTTCCAAATTTATTGACATAGATGATTGAGTGCCTCCATGGCTGCATCAGTTAGTTGAAAGATTTAAATTTGTATTCTGTCAATTCCCAGAGCCTTGTTATTTCTCATTGCTTTCAGTGCACCTTAGACTTCTTCCTTCAGTACCACTGGCTCTTGATAATACGCTACCTGTAGAAATCACTGAACATCATCCATATCTTTTTGGTTCGGTGATTCTGTGTATTCCTTCCATTTTCTTTTGATGCTTTCTGCCTCATTCAATATTTTGTCCACAGAATCCTTCAATATTTCAAGTCAACACTTGAATTTTTTATTCAGTTCTTTCAGCTCAAGAAATGATTAGTATATTCTTCCCTTTTGGTTTTTAATTCCCGTTCTTTGCACATTTCAGTATAATACTTGACTTTGTCTTCTCAAGCTGCCCTTTGAAATTTTCTGTTCAGCTCTTTTACTTCCTTATTCCTTCCTTGTTTTAGCATCTCTACAATGGAGAACAAGCATCATTAGTCTCTTCTGCCATCCATTTTGGTCTTTTCCTTCTTCCTTGTTTTCTTAATGATCTTTTGCTTTCTCCATGTATGGTGTTCTTGATGTTATCCCATAATTCTTCTTGGTTTAGGTCATTAGTGTCTAATGCATCAAATCTGTTCTTCAGATGATTTCTAAATTGGGGTGGGCTATGTTTAAGGTCAAATGTTGGCTCTCATGGAGTTGTTATAATTTTCTTCAGCTTCAGCCTGAACTTGCATATGAGCAATTGATGGTTTGTTCCACAGTCTGCCCTTGGCCTTATTTTGACTAAAGATAGAAGTTTCCCACAAGTTTAGTCAACTTGATTCCTGTATACGCCATCTGGTGAGGTCCATGTGTATTTTATATTGTTTTTAAAAGTATTTGCAAGGAAGAGGTCATTTGTCTTGCAAAATTCTATCATGTGATCTTCAGCATAATTTCTATCACCATGCCTATATTTTCCACTAATGACTTAAGTATGAACATAAATTAGGTGGTCAAGGGAACCACATGCTGGTGGAAAAGCTACATCTGTGTATCCCCTTTCTTTAGATCCTAGTTTGGCACTGCTGGATAACCTCTGAATTGGTAACCACAAGTTTGGTAGTTCAAACCCACCAGCCACTCTTCAGAAACCCTAACAGGGTCACTGGGAGTCAGAACTTAACCACCACCACAACATCCTTGTTCTTACCTGGAATTTTTTTTTACCTGGAAATATTTAAGCACATGAAAACCTGCAGTATTAGACACTGAATCAAATTAGTAACTTCAAATAAAGTCTTTAGACAGATAGGATGTGACAATAAACAATAACAAAAGAAATCTTGAGCGTACACCTGGGAACTTTCTCTGAATACCATTAATTTTCAGAACTATCCAGAGAGATTTGAATGCTAACAGATGCATATTTTTTTTTGTTTAGTGAAAACAAATTTGAATAATTTTTATTTAATGGCAAAGATGTCTAATGAAGGAGCAGAGGAGAAGGACTCAAAGACCCTACTTCCTTCTGAGGCTCAGCTCACTGCTTTGGGTTTGAGCAGGGAAGAAGCAACTAGGAATGCCAAGCATTTTTCATGTTCAGTATGAGGGAGTGTTTCATCTCCCCTCCTCCTCAGTTGTAACAGGAAGTAAGCATTTAACACAAAGACTAAGTCAGCGTGGTACCCCGATGACAAAGCCCCCTTTCTTTGCTCCACACATTTGTTGTTAAGTGAAGTCAAGTGTGTTCCAACTCATGGTGACCCTCCCTGTACAGGGTTTCCAAGGAGCTGCTGGGAGTTTGAACTACCAACCTTGTGGTTAAAACACGACCTTGTGGTCCAGTGCTTATCCTGCAGTGACACACCAGGACGCCAAACATTTGATAATTTTAGAGAAACATGAGAAGAGAGAACCAAAAGACATATCTCGGGGGTCATGAACAATGCAGAGGCGTGTCCAGGACAACAGCTTCCCAGGGCCTCCCTCCCATACCACTCAGCACTCACTACACCAGGCAAGTGTGTGTTGGTGTCCAAGGCCAATGCTGTTTTCCACTGGAAGGCTCTCCCTTTTTTATTTTCCTCTTGTTTCCCACTGATTTCAGAGGGAGCAGTGAGCACAGATGTTATTCTTCTGCAGAAACTTTCTGTCTTGCTCTGCCCACTGAGTATGACTTACAAACCAAACCCAACCCAGTGCCTTGGAGTCACTTCCGACTCACTGCGACCACAGGGGTTCTGAAGCTGTAACTCTTGAAGGCAGCAGAATGCTTCCACTTGCTCCCACAGAGCAGCTGGTGGGTTTGAAGTACCGGCCACGCAGTTCATGCCTACCCGACAGCGCCACCATGGGTACTGAAAACAGAACTGCACAAAACTTCCTGAGGTCCCAGGGAGTGCTGCAGGGGAATTGTTGTTGTGTGTTGTTGATTGGTTCCTTGTAGAGGGTTTCCAAGGAGCAGCTCGGGGGTTTGAACTGCCAGCCTTGTGGTTACCAGGGCAGCCCTGTTGGTGTGACTTCAGATCTGCTGTAGGGTCCCTGAAGACATCCTGATAGCCCACCCAGCTTCTCTGGTGCTGTGTTAGACTTTTTGAAGCAGCAGAATTTAGTCCACCACCCAGCTTCTATGGCACTCAAACGCAACTGGAAAAATAGTGATTTGAATACATTAAAATAGTGGTGAGATGTGGCCAG